TCAGTGTCTCTTGGGATACACGCCTCTGACAGTTAGTTATTCACTTCTGTTTCAATGGTAACTCGAATGTCGCTATTCTGTACCTTCTGTACCTACTGTGGTAATGAGAGAGTTATTTCAGTCCATTGCAGTGTATGCAGAAACGGGTGTAAGGTAATCACTATTCGTATTCGGCCCGACCGCAACTGCTCGGCCGAATACCGAATAGTTATTAGGTCCACTATTCAGCCCCAAATCGAATACGAAGCGACAATATATATATATATATATATATATATATATATATATATATATATATATATATATATATATATATATATATATATATATATATATATATATATATCGCACATGAGGCAAAATGAAAACTAAATGTTTGTCTACATTAAAAACAAATATTTGCAAGGACATGAAGAATTACAAGCTGCTTGACAAATGTCAACAGTTGAAACCGAACGTTTACTGAGATAGAGATTGTTCAAGTTTGGCAAAATATTTGGTACAGAGGTAGGTAGGTGCTCTGCTTGATGGAAAAAATCGCCACGTTCAATCAGATCCCTGAAGGGTGAGCTTTAGATTATAATTGTGATTAGGTTATGTGCGCCATATAAAATGGCTTGTTCTTTATAAATAACCTACATTAGATGACGTCATAGGACAGTCTAACATTTTAGAGGGTAGTAAGACTGGGTTTCCCGGCTTTCTGTTGCTTTTAACGACCTTAAAACTTTTAAAACTGGCCCTTACCCCAACCCACCTACATCCCAAGACAGAGTGCAGACTAGGTCCCACGAGTGCATGCAGCTTTGGTCCCACGACTGCATGCAGCCTGTCTACCACCCCCTGAAATATTAGACTGTCCCTTGACCTGTGAATTTCCGCTGTTTAGGGTAGGATACTAATAAAGAACAAAATGGCTTAGAACTGCAGGCAACCAAAAGCCCAGAAATGAAATCCTGGATTGATGCTATTAAAGGAGACAGACCCAAATACTGTCCTGACCGGCGACGAAGTCGTCTATTTGCCCGACAGTGGGCCACACGTTCTCTGATGTGTTCTCGAACAGACTATAGTAGGTGTATCACAAGAGGTCCAAGTAGGAAATCAAACGTCCAACGGACAAGAGACCAGGCTCGTTGCTGGATTCGGCAGGAGCAGAATGATTCCAGGAGGATTTAATACATTGGGAGAAATGTAAGCTATATGTAATATGACGGCCCTAAAATTTTAAAATATGTAAAATCATCAGCATCATCAAGTACCGTATCAGGAAGCACAGGATGTCATATGTCTCACACGATCACCAGAATCACAGATCATGTCATTGTTCTTCTTGCCCTTAATCCTTATAGCCGAGCCATCCAGCGATTTATGTCTATGCCTTCTGCCTACTCTCTTTGCCTCAGTTTTGCCAGTCAGTACCAAGCTCTCACTGTATGCCTTCTGCCTGCTCTCTTTGCCTCAGTTTTGCCAGTCAGTACCAAGGTCTCACTTTATTCCTTCTCCCTGCTCTCTTTGCCTCAGTTTTGCCAGTCAGTACCAAGCTCTCACTTTATGCCTTCTCCCTGCTCTCTTTGCCTCAGTTTTGCCAGTCAGTACCAAGCTCTCACTTTATGCCTTCTGCCTGCTCTCTTTGCCTCAGTTTGGCCAGTCAGTACCAAGCTCTCACTTTATTCCTTCTCATAAAATATAAAAACGACAACTGTCTACAGCTAATTCCTTTTTTCTAAAAAGTTTCGGACTTACGTCTGCCTCGAACAGTCAAAATACACACACATACACGCACACATATACACATATTCTTCTTCTTCAGCATTTCAAACCCTGGCTGCAGATATCATCCGCCTGCATTCATCTCTCCGGTTTTCCTTCTCTTTACAGTTGGTAACACCAAGTGATTGTAGGTCTCTCTGGACATAATCTCTCCATCGTCTTGTTGATCTGCCTCGTTGCCTACGACTGTTTATCTCCCTTGTGTACACAGTTTTTACCTCTCTGTCATCACACACACAAAACACACACACACACACACATGTAGATATTCTTCTGCTTTTTTTCCCCTAATGGCGCATAGGCCTTCGGTCGACTAGCGTCAAGTCGTTCTATTCTTCGCTTTTGAATGCAGCTTTCCCCCATGTCCTCATTATCTGTTTAATCTGTCTTTGTTGCTAATCTTCTGTGGTTTCCAGTACAAAGACATTCTAGGTATATTGTTCTCATGTTCTATAAACGTGTGTCCTAAGTGTGTGTATGTATTATTATGTGTGTGTGTATATATATATATATATTCCTAAACAGTGTAAATTTTTATTGTCATTGCAAATGTTCAAGATATTTTACTTATTTAAGTTATTATCAAATTTGAATATTTTTTTCTTACCTAAATTGCGTTTTAGCGACTTGAGAATAGGAGCAAATGAAATACTATAGGTAACCGATGGCAACGAGAGACTATGCAACTAAACTATGGACCGATTTGTTATGTAATCTTACACTACATTAAAATGGATTACTCTCAAGTTCTTCCATTTGCGCAAGGGAAACGATTCATTTTATTTCAGAATGTTCAAGAAGTAACTACAGACAATGTAATACATTTCTTTTTTTTAAAGAGATTTTATATGTAACATTAGTCGAAATATGTCAATTCTAAAAAATGTTCAAAATGACCCGTCAGATATGTTTTTCTTTCTCATTTTTTTTTATTTATTAACACTATGTTCACATTTACTTTTCCAACGTGTTGATAGTATGTTTATTACTATATTTATGCAGGAAATTCTTTTAGGCATTAACGCACTAAAGAGTGCATATCTACAGGTAATGTCTTTGAAAACAGTCAGAATAGACTAATACAGAATGTGGTGCTTTTTTAATATCCCACCCAAAACAGGGGAAATCTACAGGTTACGGGACAGTCTAATATTTCAGGGGGTGGTAGACAGGCTGCATGCAGTCGTGGGACCTAGACTGCACTCTCTTGTGGGACGTAGGTGGGTTGGGGCTAGGACCAGTTCTAGAAGTTTTAGGGTTGTTAAGGGCATCAAAAAGCCGGGGAAAAAACAGTCTTACCACCCTCTAAAATGTTGGACTGTCCTGTGACGTCATTTTAGGTAGGATTTTACGAAAGAACCAGGAATATATTAGTTCGAGGTCATGAAGGTTAGTGTGTAAAGTATGCTGGTAGGACTCGAGAGTGAAGACCGTGGATAGATATAATGGTCTGCGTCGCATGACAACGACGTTAAGAACGAAGAAACAAACAAATTAAAAATAAATCTTTTTTCAAAGGATTAGGAAATAGGCACGCCAACCCGCCTTATATTTTGTCCAAATGACCGCACTAATACACACCTTATTTCATACATACATTAGTTAGCATAAACAAAAATATATATCCCCAACATCTAATTCTTAGTCACAATTGCTGGGATATGCTCTAATTATATTTACACATGAAGAAAATGTTGGGAAACCAAAACCTCTACACAAAAACTTGTAGTTTGCCAAGACGTTTAATACACTAGCTACCATAGTTATGTGTCTGAAATGTAAACCTTCACAATGACCGTGTAGATTTTAGATAGATTACTACAGCAACTAGTGTATAACTCTCTTGGCAAACTACTAGTCTTTGTATATAGGTTCTGGTTTCCAACATTTTCATTGTGACGATTTAGATTTGATATGGATAACTTCATGGATCCAGTGTATAGATCGTCGTTCGGACGATGTTGAATCCTTGTTATTTCAAAGTTTTCGATTTGTCGGGTGTTTGTGGATTGATGTGTCAGAAATTACCAGAGAAAACATTTGTGTGAAAAACCAGGGGCATTTTCCCTTAAGAGATACACTGTGGCCGAGGGGGTGGGGATAAAACCAAATTTTTTTAATATCTTTCGGTCGAATGAAAAATCTTCTTCGAGAAGTTAATCCGGTGAACAAATACACGATGAAATGGGATTTGTAATTCGAAAGGGGCAAAAATCGCTGCTATGCCGTAAACAGGCACAACTCAGTTACGTGACTCGGACGAACAAAAAGAAAAACAAGAAGAATAGAAGAAAATATCTTCTACTTCTTCGCTTTCACTGTCTGTAAACTCTGGCGAAAAGTTCTAGGTGTTCTTCCACCTCGTATTCCATAACTTTTGTGTTGCCTGCACATTAGTTTGATAGGTCTGGCTTATTTGTATGCAGCCACTTTGTTACTTGACAAGTCAGGAAGACGTACTCCGACTTTGAAGGATGCCCCAGTTATCTACTATGCCACACATTTTGTCGAGACAGTGGGTCTATTCTTGTTTTCCCCATAATGGGGCCCCGGAACCAACACGGGCAGTAAAATCCGGTTAACACGAATTCCATGGGGTCGTGTTATAAATCCTGTTTACTGGGGCTAAAGCGACAATTGTGTTTATGTTAACCGATTGTTCTTCTAAAACGATTTCGTGTTAACGATATTTTACTGTATTAATAATAATAATGCGGGTAACAATGTTATAGAATATTTCTCACAGCACCTCAGGTTTTTTTTTTTTCAATAGGTATATCCAAGAATAATTATGCACTCTTCGTCATCCCCTTCCGGGACGCAATTTTTCGTTATTTTGAAGCCCAAGAAGCCCCAGGGGCCGCAATAAAGCCTAACGGTTGAAAGCGGTTTCCGGGACCTCACCACGGGTGATCTTCATCCGCATTGTGGCACTTTGTGTCACCGGGTGTTTATCGCTCTGTGTAATGTCCTGGTTGGGTACAATTTATTTACTTACTTACTTACATCCAAGAAAGAAGATAGATCTGGAAACCAGTCATGGAGATGATAACATGCTGATGGAGTAACTGAAGGGAGCCATTGAGAAGATTAAGCTGGGAAATGCAGCAGGACATGGTGGTACAACACCAGAAATGGTCAAATATATAAGGGAGTCGCTGGGGAGCGACTTCTTCTGAAGGTTTTACATGCAGCCTGGTGATGATGATGAAGATGATGATGATGACAATAATGATGATGATGAAAGGATCACATGCATTGTCCACTCCTTGGGTTCTGCTGGGCAGGTTTTTGGCTTTGATCAGCGTGACCATTAGTTTCTCTGTCTCCCGTTCATACTCAGTAGCGAACCAAACACGTCCAATGTGGTCCGGGGGAATGTCGTAATGGTCGTCCTCATCTGCCACTTTATAGAGTGACGGGTCGATGCTCCCAAGGGCATATGCTCCTGCAATACAGTTTATTATGAAGATTTAAAATTTAGTTAGATAGCAATGAGAGCAAAGTATCCGATTTTCACATCAACCCTAACCCAGACAGGACTACAGGCTACTTTGTAACCGTTTTGTTGTGTTTAACTGTGCTAGATGGCTATTTACTAAACGGGGTTGCCGGGATTCGTACGACCTTAATTCTTATCCTTGAGATGTTAATCCAGCAAACTGCAATCGTAGAGAGGATATGGGGGGATGGGGGGGGGGGGGGGTTAACAATAAAACAAGCGGGATCTTCATTTTTAGGGTTTAGATAGATAACAATTGTAATTAGTGTATTATATTTTCAATTTTAAGGATCTAGATAGACACAATTGTAATTAGTGTTTATATTTTCATTTTAGAGTTTTAGATAGATAACAATTGTAATTAGTGTATTATATTTTCAATTTTAAGGATTTAGATAGACACAATTGTAATTAGTGTATTATATTTTCATTTTAGGGATTTAGATAGATAACAATTGTAATTAGTTTATTATATTTTCATTTTACGGATTTATAATTTATAGACATAAACGTCTGAATGAGTATCTTAGAAAGTCACTTTAAAGTATTGGAATATATGAAGGTAAGTCGACTAGTATATCAGATGATTATTTGACGATTTATAATATACCCAGTGTATTCGATTTCCACATATCTCTTATTGTAATGTTTGCTGCGTGCTGATGATTTTTTGGGCAATTTACTTTCAAATAATTCATTTTTTTTTTTTTTTTTTTCTAATGGTGGATTGATAGATACCGTTATTATTGGTAACAGTTGCTTACAAAATGAACAGAACAGACCAAGTCACAGTTATTCGTTGACGCACTGGACACCCCAGACTCAACAGTCATATAAATTAGGTATGAGACAAATAGCTCTCTGCCAGTGTCTTCTTGCTGAAAAGACTCAACAAAACGTCTTGCAAGTCTGGTCTCTCCTGGAGGAGCTGTGAAGCAACATGTCGCCACACACAGTAGACTTGACCTAACAACTAAGCTTCTGGCAAGCTGGGAAACATTGAAACGACATCCATGTTTATGATCGACGGTGAGTTGTGCGCATTACCAGAGATAGTGGAAAAGGAATAAGAAAAAAAAAGTATAACAGTAAGTAAATGATCTCTACGTTATTTTTAAAACAAATGACCTTCTTTATGCCGTGGGGCATATTAGATACAAGGAGGTTTTCATTTTTAAGAAACATGATAGGCATAAATATCCATTAATGAGGCATAAATATCCATTAATAAAAAAAATTTTAAAAAATACTCTTATCTATTGCAATTCTCACCTGGATTGGTTAGAGAGGATATTGTTGTTTAAATTACTTCTACTACAAAACAGGGAAAAGTACAAAATAATCCACTGAGCTATGACTCAGAAGCTTAACGACGGTGGGGAAGGAGGTGGGGAGAGAAAAATCACAAAAACGGGAACAATTGAGCGTTTCGACAGCAGCCTTTGTTGATACAAACCACAACAACAAGGGGGAGAGTATTCTGGCCAGTGAGGAGTAAGTGAATGTTTCACCACTGCTGTTTGATCTCAGGGGAAAACTGGCCATGCCAAAGACAAAGATTGGCTGAAACGTACGGTGGTATTTATGTGGAGTTCAGGGAATCGATCGGTTTGTCCCCTCCAGGCTGCTACCAAAGGTTTTGCCACACTATCATAAGATTTAAACAAAATCTCAATAAGAACGGTTATAATTAGGACACCCGTTACTGTTACACCAGCCAGATGTAGCATGCAGTCCTATTCGGAAAGAGACCGTCGAGTTTCTTATTGACAATTTTTACATTATTAGGTTACTTCTTGATATCTGTTTGGTTGTCGTCAGATTACTTCCAACATCGCTTCTGAAGAAAGGCTGCACCGGAATTGCTAGAACCTTTAGGACACTTCCATGGAAATAATTTTTCATTGAGAAAAGGAAGGCTGTGACCCCTCCACATATCCTTAAGTATACGGGGAGGGAGGAAGGGGTGGGGTGAGCTGTAACAGGGACCCTGATCAAATTGCTTTTAATTAAAAATGCTGGAGAACAACAGGCTCATCATGGCGTTCACCTTTATTTCCAGAACCTTTCCATAAAGTTCGGTGACAGCACAATAGTACATGGTGTCCTTGGCCTGAGCTTCCCGAGACTTCCAGAAGTTTAGCTAGAACCCTCATGTGACCCTGCCTTCTAGTACATAAAAATACCCTGTGGACAACATTTTTGGAATTTTTCTGATAAACTTGTATTTTAGAAACGTAATAGCGGTATGCAAAACACGTTGCTGGAAGATTCTGGAAACGAGCTAATGGCACCTATATAAGCGAGTGTCTGGACCTCTCAGATCAGAGGGAGGGCAGGCCAGGTTAGGTTAGACGTAGTGAGCAGGAGACTTAGCTCGGGATTTGTGGATACTCTATATAGAGTAATGTTAAAGACCCCTTAGATAAAAGTTAGAGACTAAATCATTGTTACTACATAGACTTCAAAAAACTGGTTTGGATAGTTTTATTAATTGTCATGTATTGACAAAAACTGGTTTGGATGCAAATCTTTTGTTTAATAATTCTCAAAGAAAAGGGCAAAAAGAAGACGTATACAATTTTTAATATGAAAAGTACAATTTACTAGACTTCTAATAGCCTGGATGGCTTGAATTTTGATTTCTCTTCCTGTTTCTGCTGAGATGTTTTTAACTGTGTGTCTGAGACGCCAGGGTGGTGGTTATCTGGTAAAGTTTATTTTAGAAGACTAGTTTGGTAACGTTTGTTTCATCGTGGGCATGGAGAAAAAAGGAATTAATTTAGTGGCTGAACGGGAAGAGGGAGGTTATGCCCACTAGCTGACTGCACAACAGTGGAATGAATGAACCAAGAGGTAAAGCAGACTCTGTTTGAGAGCTCCCCATGCCACTCCCCCTGCATTTCAAACAACTTTTCAAAGGAATTGCTATGGAATGGTAGGAAGTGAGAGAGAAGAGAGAGAGGGAGAGGGAGAGCCCACTAGCTGAGCACAACAGTGGAATGAATGAACCAAGAGGTAAAGCAGACTGTTTCAGAGCTCCCCAACACTCTCCCTTTTTTAACAACTTTTCAAATAATCGCTATGGAATGGTAGGAAGAGAGAGAGAGAGAGAGAGAGAGAGAGAGAGAGAGAGAGAGAGAGAGAGAGAAACAGAGAGAGAAACAGAGAGAGAAACAGAGAGAGAAACAGAGAGTCAGAGAGATAGAGAGAGAAAGAGAGAGAGAGAGAGAGAGAGAGAGAGAGAGAGAGAATGGGGGCTAAATGGTCTCTGTGGCTATCTGAGTGGATACCATGTACAAGCACTGGGAAGTAAAGGCTCTGAGTGGATATCATGTACAAGCACTGGGGTATGAAACGGTTCTGAGTGCTACAAGCACTGGGAAGTAACGTTTTGAGTGAAACAAGCACCGGTAAATGAAGGTTCTGAGTTGTACAAGCACTGGTAAGTTAAGGTTCTGAGTGGTAAAAGCACTAGGAAGTAAAGGCTCTGAATGGATATCATGTACAAGCTCTAGAAAGTAAAAGTTATGTGTGGTACAAGCACTGGGAAGTAAAGGTTCTGAATGGTACAAGCACTAGGAAGTAAAGGTTCTGAATGGTACAAGCACTGGGAAGTAAAGGCGGCTGGTGTGATGTGAACCACGTCGCCCACCAAGTGCCCATTGGTCTATAAATATAGATCTAGCCCTTCATACCCAATACACTTGAAGGCGTAATAAAAAAAGGGTCCTTTACTTTTCTCACTTTCTTCGTATACGTGTGTGCTTAGTAATCCATTTCGGAACATCAAAAATGCCCGTGTTTAGCGTATGACCCCTTCCTGTGACACATAATAATGTTTCTTGAAGGACTCATTAACCCAAGGTGCCCTCATTTCCTCCTGCCCACAGGAACAAGAACCTCTATCTAGTTGATCCGTTCGTCATAACCATTATTCCTCACATACCAAATGGAGGCGATCTCCCAGTCTCGAGGTAATGATACTGACTCCGTCCCTAGACAGATTAAGTCATGCAAATGCGACAGCCGCACGTGCTTTTTTTAACAGGATACCATAGGTTTGAGATTTTGTGGATTATGTCTGCCAAGCGGATTTCAGGGATTCGTAAACACGTCTGCGAGAGGGATTTCAGAGACAGACTAGGAGGAATGGGCAGGCTATGTTTACATATGAACTAAATAGCGGCTTTTCTCTTTATAACTGTACTTTTTTAGATGGGAATATGTGTTTCTTAAAGATAACTATTTACATATGAATAAAGAAGTGTGGCTTGTGCAGAATTATATTTGTTTTAGATGGATATGTGTTACTGAAAGATGACTATTCCCACATGAAACCAATGTAGCTTTAAAAAAAGAAGACAAAAAAACAACAGATTGCACAGTTTACTGCCTGGCATATCTCGTCAGGTGCATACTTAGGTTAGTTGCGTATCCTTTACAGGACGTTGCAGAACCAACCCCAACAGCCCCTGTCTGTTGTGTGGTTTTTCTAGGAAAATTTACGTCCAGTAGTTTGCCGTTGCTTTTCGAACGGTCGTCCTTCTTGATACCACTGTCGAAGCCAAGGCAAGACGCATAGCCCGCAGCTGGGATCGAACCCGGCATCCCGGCATTACGAAGCGTTCGCATCGACTTAGCCACAAAGCCGACCGACAGGTGCATACTACAGAACAAATTACATAAATAAAGCAGATAAGTGAATAATTTATAACCAAAGAACGAATTTAACAACGATCAAACAGAACTGCCTATTTTACCAGAAAAGCACCATGTCAGAAAATATCTTTCTGTATACAGAGTTCTCAGGGCATGTGATCAATCGCCGCAGCTGCAAGAAATCTTAGCGTTCAACTATTGGCTAAGGTGTGACGAATTTGAAATCCGTTGTCCTTTGTTACGGTCAGTGTTGCCACTTTGGATGTTTTACATCCAGATTTAGA